AGGGCTGATCCACCAACAGCTCGATGGCTCCTCTCACCTTGACACATCATTCTTAGCTGTTTCCCTTCATACAGTTCCCTGCTGCTAAATACTAGAAGCCTCTCTCTCCCGCTCTCCGCCTCCCTCTTTCTCCCCTTCCCTCTTTTTTTTTTCTTTTTTCTTTAAGACAGGGTTTCTCTGTGAAACCCTGGCTATTCCAGAACTCACTCTGTAGCCTAGGCTGGTCTTGAACTCACAGAGATCCGCCTGCCTCTGCCTCCCAAGTGCTGGGATTAAAGGTGTGCGCCATCATGGCTTGGCTGGAAGCAATCCTTATTAAACTATAATCGTAGTATTTGTATCATAAGAGCCCACTAATGTTTGAGCAAAAGTCTGCATTTAGCACAGTGCCTCTTGGTTGCGGTCCTAAATCAGAGACTGGATTAAACAACAGCAGCAGCCTGGCATTCAAGGTGGTGAGTTCACCCCCACAAATCCTTTCTGGGATCTGCAGTGAAACATGAGAAACAAGACAAGTAGCAGGAGAAAGGGACTCCAAAAGAATGTGAGGACAAGAGGTCACATGACCCTGTTGGCCTCAGATGTTCGAGGGATCTCATAGGTAGGGGAAGAAGTGAAGAAAGATGACCACAAATGTTCTGTAAATGTGAAATGATCACAGAGGAATATAATGAATACGGTTATGAGTGAGTCCAATGCGTCATCACCAGACAGACACCTGTGCATCGTCATCACACACCTGCGCTCACGGTGAGTCTAATGCGTCATCACCAGACAGACACCTGTGCATCGTCATCACACACCTGCGCTCACGGTGAGTCTAATGCGTCACCACCAGACAGACACCTGTGCATCGTCATCACACACCTGCGCTCACGGTGAGTCTAATGCGTCACCACCAGACACCTGTGTGAGGGACCCTCAGCTGCAGATTCTCGTCATACATTTAGGACAGAGTGATTGTTTGGCTGCACTGAGGTGATGTGTAAGGTATAAGGCATAAAGGGTTTCCGGCTGGGCATTGTGGCGCATGCCAGGAAGATGAGGCAAGAAGATTGTACATTTGATCTATATAACAAGTTCTAGGCTAGCCTGGCCTATACAGTAAGACACTGTCTCAAGAAATCCCCTCCCTCAAAAGCCAACAAAATAAAAATCAAAATTAGTCCTATAGTTATCACCCATGATGAACACTTGGAGAGCCTTTGTCAAATGCAGATTCTGAGTATGTCTGGCAGCGCTCACACCTGCAGTCCCAGCCCTTGGAGGACCTAGAGGATCAGGGCTTCAAGGCCAGCCTGGGCTACCCACAACTTGTCTTAAAAACAAATAAAACCAGGAAACCCAGGCCTGGTGACTCACGATCAATTGTCATCCCAGCACCCAGATGGCTGAGGCAGGAAGTTCAAAAGTTCAAGGCCAGCCTGGGTTACACAGAAAGACCAAGGTATTAGGGAGAGCAGTTGGAAGGACAGTAGTGTCACCTGTGAGGAGGTGGCAGTAGAAGAAGACAGGGAATAGCAGGTGTCCTGCTCGAAGTGAGGGGGTCAAAGTTGGTTCATCCGGGGCGATGTTGAAGGAGTTGGGCCCCACACTGAAGCAGTCTCTGACGGGTCAAGTGTGTCGCTGCAGACCAGGTCTTCATGGAGACTGCTGCTTTTTGTCTAAGTCTGGATTAGGGTGACTTGGTCCCTACAAGGGTATGATAGCATGCATTCTACATGGGGTTGTGGTGATTTGAATGAGAGCCCCCCATACATACAGGCTCCTGTTTGAATGCTTGGTCCCCAGTTAGTGGAACTGTTTGTGAAGGATTAGTTGTGGCCTTATTGGAGGAGGTCTGTCGCTGGGGGTGGGCTTTGAGTTGTTAGTTCTCTTTGCTTCATGGCTGTCACGTGATAAATGCGAGCTCTCGGCTGCTGCTCCATCATAACGTCTGCCTGCCTGCCTTGTCCCCGCCATGACGGACAGCATGAACCATAACCCTCTGGAACTATAATCCTCAAATTAAGTGCCTTTCTAAATTGCCTTGGAGCTGGGCGATGGTGGCGCACACCTTTAATCCCAGCACTCGGGAGGCAGAGGCAGGCGGATCTCTGTGAGTTCGAGACCAGCCTGGTCTACAGAGCTAGTTCCAGGACAGGCTCCAAAGCCACAGAGAAACCCTGTCTCGAAAAACAAACAAACAAAACAAAAAAACCAAAATAAATTGCCTTGGAGCCGGATAGTGGTGGCGCATGCCTTTAATCCCAGTACTCAGGAGGCAGAGGCAGGCGGATCTCTGTGAGTTTGAGACCAGCCTGGTCTACAGAGTGAGTTCCAGGACAGTCAGGGCTACAACAGAGAAACCCTGTCTTGAAAAACAGAGAAAAAGTAACTAAGACAGAGGTGGTGTGGGACGCATGGGAGGTTCTCTCAGCTGCACTCATCAGAATCACAGACACAGGCGGCCACACGGGGGATACCAGTGTGTGGTGAGAATGGGGGTCTCCACTGATGCCTACCCTAAAGGCTGTGGTTCCAAGTGCTATTCAAGGCCTGTGCCTCTCATGAGAGATCACGTCTGCGGCTACAGAGCTGGCTAAAGCACAAGCAAAGGATGCTGGGATGGGGTGGGTAAGGGACACAGTATGGGGCAGCTGCCTCTGGAAGCAGCCAAACTGTCCCCAGCTGCAGCAAGGGTAGAGGATTTGGTGACAGGATTTGGGACTGTCTAACCCAGCCCGGAACTAACACCCTCCTCCCCTTCACACAGGCACCTTGTCCTTCCCCTCAAGCCTGTCAAAGCTCAGAATAACCCTGAGAACCAGACAGCAGGATGGCAGGGGCTCTGCTTGGTGCCCTGCTTCTCTTGGCACTCCTTGGTAGGGACAGGAATTAGGGGAGCCAGCTGGGTCCCTATCCCAACCTGGAGGGACCAGGGAAAAGGTGGAGACCAAGGCATAAACTGAGAGAGTACTTAGTCCCCAGGTGCACTACTGTTGGCTTAGGAGAAATGCAGAAAGATACATACAGGAGGGCTGCGCAGACCCAGGGGGCAGAGAGAAACCCAGGCTGTTGCTTCAAGTCCAGTGATCCTTCCTTCTTGACGTACCCCAGGCAGAAGCGAGAGTAAGAACGAAGAGCTCAGCCTGTATCACCATCTCTTCGACAAGTATGACCCAGGATGCCGGCCAGTTAGGAGGCCCGAAGACACCGTTACCATCACCCTCAAGGTCACCCTAACCAACCTCATCTCACTGGTAAGCTACCCCTCCAATCCTATGCCTGCTTTCTCACTTCTAACCCTAACTCCCGGCCTCAGGCAGGCTCCTTCCTCTTGTAGAATGAGAAGGAGGAGACCCTGACCACCAACGTCTGGATTGGAATTGTGAGTTAGATCTCGGGAGCAGTGCGAGGGTTCCCAGCCAACCCCCTTCTTCCTACCCAGAAGGGTGGAGAGCACACCCTTCTGTCCCCTCCTCTCAGGACTGGCAGGACTACAGGCTCAACTTCAGCAAGGAGGATTTTGCAGGCTTAGAGACCCTGCGGGTCCCTTCGGAATCTGTGTGGCTGCCAGAGATCGTTCTGGAAAACAAGTGAGGACTGGCCAAGAGGAAACGGTTTTAGGGGGGACTTTGTTGGCGGAAGAGGTTCAGTACTCTTTCCAATACTGTGAAAAGCTTGTTCCCCACAGCATCGATGGGCAGTTTGGAGTGGCCTATGACTGCAATGTTCTGGTCAGCGAGGGAGGCTACGTGACCTGGTTGCCCCCTGCCATCTACCACAGCACCTGCGCAGTGGAGGTCACCTACTTCCCTTTCGACTGGCAGAACTGCTCTCTGGTTTTCCGGTGGGGAGAGTCACTTCAAGGAGGAGAGAGGGGGGCCTAGAGCGGGGACAGGGCCTGACATGGAGGAGCGGGTGGGGGCTCTGTGGAAGGGCTATGCAGGTGGTGGAGGGGGGCACTGAGATGCGTGGGAAGCTGCACCCGGGGTTGTTGGCATAGTTTATCCCACAGTCCCAGCTCCTCCCCAGGAAGAGTCTGAGGCATGAACAGGAAGTAGATGTGCTGGAGGGATGTGGGCAAGAGTGGAGCCATTGGGAGCTTCCGGGGCGGGACTAAGAAGGGTCCAGCTTCTGGGGTGAAGCCTGGCCATGTTTCACAGCTCCCAGACCTACAATGCTGAAGAAGTGGAGTTCATCTTTGCGGTGGATGACAACGGCGAGACCATCGACAAGATTGAAATTGACACGGAAGCTTTTACTGGTGAAGGGGCTATCACTTCCTCCAAAACCTTTCCCAGATGAGGGCCACGGGTGTATGGGGGGGTGGGGCTTGCAGAGCCTGACTTGGGCCACACAACTGATTGTCACACTAGGCCTCTCTCTTTCACATCCTTACTGGGAATGTCCCTCTTTGCCCATACTTCCCCTATGCTGACAGCCCAGGGTCCTGAGAGCTGCGCCCACCTGCTCAGCCTGGAGTTGCAGGTATGTGGGCTGACTGCACCCCATGCCCTGCAGAGAATGGAGAATGGGCCATCGACTACTGCCCAGGCACGATCCGCCATTACAAGGGAGGCTCTGCAGAAGTCCCCGGAGAAACTGACATTATCTACACGCTCATCATCCGTAGGAAGCCGCTCTTTTACGTCATTAACATCATTGTACCTTGTGTACTCATTTCTGGCTTGGTGCTGCTTGCTTACTTCCTGCCCGCGCAGGGTAAGGGGTGACCCCTGACTTCTAAAGTCCGGGCTAGGCTCCCTCCCTGGGCCGCTTCTCACGGTGTGCTCCCTCTAGCTGGTGGCCAGAAATGCACAGTCTCAATCAACGTCCTGCTAGCCCAGACTGTCTTCTTGTTCCTAATTGCCCAGAAAATTCCAGAGACATCTCTGAGCGTGCCACTGCTGGGCAGGTAACCTCAAAGTGGATCTAACAGAGATGGGGTACCAGCACGGTGGGCGGAGCCAAAGAAGGTTGGCGTAGGGGACTTGCAGTTGTCTTGTTCTGGGTTTTTATTTGGACACAGGGTGGGGCTGGGACAGTGATGGATTATCTGGTCCCCCGTTCTCCTCACTGCTGTTGGATGTCACCTTGGGGTCTCCCGGGTATCTCTGTTGAGAGGTCAGTATGGCTCAGTATAACCTCAGTCCCATCTCCTCTGACCCGTGTCACACCCCTTATTCTGAACGTACCGGATCCCCGGGGACCCCAAGACCCAGCAGGCGTAGGGTGTGTTGCAGGGATGAGGTGGACCCGTGCAAACCGCGTCCGCACAGGCACAGCCACGCCCCCTGGATCAGGTACCGGACACTTGCGCCAGCTGCTGCTCCAGCTTGCCGAATCCCCTGCCCTGCAGCCAGGGCTACACGGGCCAGTGCCCTACCCGGATCCCCAGTGTTCGGGGCTGCGCTCAGGCAGCCGTCGCTGCTGTCCAGCACTTCCTGCTGTAGCCACAGGACTGAGATCTGCATTGGGGGCACAAGGGCTAGAGGTCTCTGCCTTTGCTGGCCTAGCCCTCCCCCGCTTTTCTTCCCATCCCTCAACTCTCCAGAGCTGCACCTCTAACAAGGTGGCTCCGAAGCTCATGATGCTGGTTGCAGCTTCTCTTAGCACCAGCCCCAAGGTGGCCTTCTGGGCAGGCGGCTTATTGGATTCCAGGGGCTCCTGGGACTTAAGTTCTCTGAACCTTTGGACCAGATATTCGTGAGCTGCGGCCACAGCAAGTTCCAGGGAAGACAGAAGCGGAGGCTGTAGGGCCACCTGGAGAAGCAGGGGTAGTGGAGTGGGAAGGGTCACAGCAGCAGGCGCTGGAGACCTCTCCAGATGCCGCCTTTGGGTGGACCGTTCTCACCTCGGTGGAGCTGTGGAAGTGGTAGACCCACAGCAGGGTGTCCAAGTTGCTGGGAGTCCCCTTCATGGCCGCAACAGATGGTGGATGCGGGAGGGGGTGGATACTGGTGTTGTGGAGGGGTAGCCAAGGGAAGTAACTCCACCACTCCCGCGCGCGGAGGTGTTTGTGAGGTAGAGGACAGCTAGCGGCTTGTCCTGTTTTGTGGGATGCTGTGACATCATGCCTCCTTGGTATGTATCTCAGGTATCTTATTTTCGTCATGGTGGTTGCCACGCTCATTGTTATGAATTGCGTCATCGTACTCAACGTGTCTTTGCGGACTCCGACGACCCATACCACATCCCCTCGGCTGCGCCAAGTAAGCGTAAGCGCTGGTTGAGTGAAGGACAGCCCAGGGTGGGAGGCGGGGTTGGAATTTATCTCTGCCCTGGCCACAGATTTTATTGGAGCTACTGCCACGCCTCCTGGGCTCAAGCCCACCCCCTGAGGCTCCCCGAGCTACCTCACCTGCCAGGCGCGCCTCCTCTGTGGGCATTCTGCTCCGAGCAGAGGAGCTCATCCTGAAAAAGCCGCGGAGTGAGCTCGTGTTTGAGGGGCAGAGGCATCGGCATGGGGCCTGGACTGGTGAGCACCGCTCTTGGTGGGTCAAAGGCACACACTTGCATTGGGGATGTTCTTTAATGACTTGGTGTCGCCGCCCTTTTAGCTGCTCTCTGCCAGAACCTGGGCGCTGCAGCCCCTGAAATCCGCTGTTGTGTGGATGCTGTGAACTTTGTGGCTGAGAGCACACGAGACCAGGAAGCCAATGAAGAGGTGGGTTGGGTTGAGAGTGCGGCTAAGGCCCTTCCCTCATTCCCTCTCTTGCACTAAGCTGTGTCCCACAGGAAGTATCCGACTGGGTGCGCATGGGGAAAGCCCTCGACAACGTCTGCTTTTGGGCGGCTCTGGTGCTCTTCAGCGTCGGTTCCTGCCTCATCTTCCTTGGGGGTTACTTCAACCAAGTTCCTGATCTCCCCTACCCACCGTGTATCCAACCCTGAGCCTGCAATAGCACCCATGTCACCCCTCTCCCCGCAAGAAGTCGACTTTGCCAACAGGCTGACAATAAATCCATTTTGTGAACTTCCAGGAGGGTTGTGTGGCCACGTGGGTAGGTCTGGCTCCTCAGGGTCAGTGTGTATAGCAGTCAGGTGATTTGGCCAGGCTCTTGAAGTCAACACTCTACGGCAGGGTTTGCCCTTGGTTCGGTCTCACTACCTCTTGGCTCCTTTGATCCATCAGACCTAGCTGACAGCCAATGAGGCTTTGCCTAGACTTAGACATAGGAACACTGATGCCAGATGGTGGGCTCTCAACATGGTGGGAGCTGGTAGAATTGTCTTTATTAACAAACGGGTATCCAAGGCCACTACATTGAGAAAGGATACAGGAGGGGGAAGGGCTACCTGCTGCTCACACTATATACAGATGCAAGCAAGGGGGCATGAAGGGAGGGGAGGGTGGGAAGGAGGAATGTTTTGGCTATGGGGTCCCTCCTCCATTCCCTGGGACCTGGGGGAGGGGAAGTCATTAAAGTGCTTTCAGAAAATGAGGACCTGGTCCCTGCCCCTGGAGTGGCTGGTGACCCTCCCCCCAGAACCCAGGGCCCAGTGACCCCCCCCAGAGTCTGGTACATTCAAGGGGGGAGCCGGCTCCCCTGGCGTGCAAATAAAGGGGTACAGGGCCCTGCTCAGTCAGCAGCAATGGGGTAAGGGGGTCCAAGCCCCAAGCACTCTCCTCTTAAGTGGAGAAAAGGGGAGGGGCAAGTCCCACTCAATTCCTGGTAAGGGGAAGCTGTGTCATTCCCCAGAAGTTGGGGACAGGCACAGTTTTGAAAACATGTTGGGAGAAAGGATGGTCACGTGATCACAAAAGCTTCAGGGATCAGAGGTCACGTTCCCAGCAGGCTCCAGTGAATCAAACCAGTAAAAGCAAAAGCCCAAAGGGAGAGGGGGAGCAGGGCTGGGCGGCCTGGCTGTGGGGAGAGAGCTGGGTCCATGGGGAGCCCAGCCCAGGGCCTCATCACCAGTTCATGATGCAGTTACGGTTCAGAGTCATAAAGTAAACTTGGCTGCTTCCCCCAGAGCGGACTGAGGCAAAAAACACCTGGATGAGGTAGAAAAGCCATCATGAAGGGCTAGAGTGTGGTGTGTGTTTGTGGGTGGGGGATCCTCAGCTGGGAAAGGGAAGAGGAAGTGAGACAAACTGCAGACTGGTGCATGCTTCTCCCCACCCCAGTGAAAGGCTAGAGGTGTGTTACCAGACCCCTGGGGTAAAGGCAACAGAACCCAAGGGGAAGGAGGGTGGCGGCTCTGACAGCTTCCAGGGGAGGGGCTGCTCTGAGGAGAACAGCAGAACCACTCCGCCCCCCCAGATCTGCCCAGCACAAGGTGTGGACAGCCAGCCTAGCACAGGGCTCCCTCACATACACACTGCCTCACCTTATCATTCCGCTCACACAGGAACTTGAGCCTCTGGGCTCGTTTGTGCATGAAGACCCCATCCAGGTGGCCTGTCTCCACAGAGCGGATCTCAATGGCTTTTTCACCCCAGCCCATTATCTGGTTGGAGCAGATGTAGGCTGAAGGGAGACGATGGTAGAAAGGCTGTGAGGAGGCTGTCCTGGTCACCTCAGGGCAAGCTGGCCAGGAGGTGGCCATCACTTACCCACAGAGGTGGGCATCTCTCCCCACTGCAGCACCACATCCTTGATGATCCGCCCGTAGGTGTTGACATAGACACCTTCGTCTTCATAGCACAGTAGCATCTCCATGCCGTCGGTGTTGGGGAGGAAGATGATGGCATGGGGCGTGATCTGGCTCTGGATCTGGGGAGAGAGAACGGGGTGAGGTAGGGTCCTCAAGTCTGATGTCCAAAAGGACTGGTTCCACTTGCTCCACAGCCCTGCTAAGCTCACGTGCACAGGGATGTAGATGTCGTAACTGTTCCCAGAGTCAACATCCACAGCATGGAAGCCAGCACTGGAGCCATAGATGACCTTGAGCCGCTGTCCCTCCTCTACAGTCAGGTCCACCAGCAGAGGGCGGTGAGGGAGGTCAGCAAAGGACTGTGGGGGAGAGAAGATTCAGGAAGAAAGTGCAGGAGCAGAACCTTCAAATAAATGTACTGAAGGCTGAGGCTGCCATTACCTTGAAGGCCATAAATTTGTGGTAGGGTTTGGGAGCCCAGGCGTACACCTCCACAGAGCTCTTCAGGGCTATGACCAGGAACTTAATACGCTCATATTTCACTGGGGGCAAGAAAGGGGGAAGCAATGACTTCCGCTGTCAGGCTCTGATGACCTCTGCATTTAGCCCAGACCTTGTTTCTCCCTGGCTACTGTGTTGTGTCATCCTCACCAACACGATAGTGGCCACAACCCTCCATGTCCCCCACAGTGGTCCACCCTTGCTTCTTCTCCACCTCTGGGTCGTTGTGCAGAATCTTATTCCGCAGCCAGGACAGGTAATATACCCGAAGTTTGTTCCTTTTCCCTGAGAGATGGACACACACACATAAAAACTCACACTTATTCCCATCAAAGGCCCCATTTGTGTGCTGCTTCACACAATGCTGTTTGCACACCACAGTGAACCACCAAGGCCCTTCTCCTCCCAGGCCAAAGCTGACAAAGCCAGAGTTGAGACAGGCACCTGAGATGGTGATGAGCAGGTTGAGCCCCTCCAGCACGTCCATTTGCTGGAAGCGCCGCCGCCCAATGAGTCCATACACTTTGCCCTGTCCGCTCCGGTCCAGCAGCATAAGCCCATTCTCTGTGCCCACCAGGAGGTTGACCCCTGCAATACGAGTCCTTGGACAGGTCAGAGGCAGACCCGGCTCTCCCCTGACCAGGATCAGGAGCATGGAAGCTGTACCCAGATCCCTTTCAGCCCTGGCTTACCCCAGAGGGCTGCACAGAGGATCTCCGAATTGAATCGCTTCTTGTACTTCCGAATCTCGGGAGTTTCACTATGAGCCCGGGTGTTGGTGGGGTTGACGTTGACCACAGAGCCCTTCCTCACATCGAACTGCAGCTGGTCAAGACGACCACCCTCTCCACCTACTAGGGCTGCCAGGATGAAGAGGAGGGAGGGTGGCTGCAGCCCTCCAGTGCCTGTTTTTATTCCTATGCTGTATCTGATCTTGGGCACTTCAGAACTCTCAGAAGGGGAAGAGAAAGACTTCAGCAGAGGTGCACGAAGAGAGCAGAGATAAAAGAATCCCAGTCTTGAGGCCAGGGCCTCGCTCAAATCCTTCAGTCACTCAACCGTTCCCTTAGCCACCCTGAGCAATTGCCCCTCAGAAGCCCTCGCCTGGGCAGGGGCTAAGCCTCAAAAGAGAGGCCTGTGAATAGACTCATGCCTTTAATTCCAGCACTTGGGAAGCAGAGGCAGGCAGTTCTCTATGAGTTTGGGGCCAGCCTGGTCTACAGAGTGAGTTCCAGGACAGCCAGAGCTCTTATACAGAAAAAACCCTGTCGCAAAAAAACTAAAAAAATTAAATTTTTCTTTTCTATGTATGCAGGTATCCATGGAGGCTGGAAAAGGCATCTGATTCCCTGACTCAAAGTTAAGGAGGGTGTGAGGTGTGTGATGTAGATGTTGGGACCAAACTTGGGTTCTCTGGGAGAGTAGCACATACTTTTAACCACTGAGCCGTCTCTTCAGCCCCATGCTTATCCTCTGTAAAACTACATTCTCAGGCTAGCTCTGAAGTCCAGCCTCACGGCAGATAATTCCTCCTGTCCTCACCTGTGATAGGGATGGTGTCCCCACTGCCTCCAGGCTGGTAGATCCCTAGATCGACAAACATGGTGAAAGAGCTCTTCCCAGGGGCCTTTACCAACCCTCGAGACTGGTACTGTGGGGAGAGGGAACAGTCAAGAACCACGTGTGGCTGTGGGACAGACCCCAGCCCTACTGCGTTCACAGTGCCTTGCTTCACCTGCCACAGTGCTCCCATCACCCACTCCTCTGCAAACCATTTGCAGGGCTCTCTCTCTAGTTATGGACCCACATCGGCACACT